GATAGATTGGCTCGGAATATTACTTTCACACAATGTGTTAATTTATTAACAATATTATCAAATGAAAGTAATGATTCGAGAAATAAATCAATACTCGATCGATTTTGTTTTGATATATTACCTCGAATTCAACACAATATTCAGTCTCTTACTCTTGATCCATTATCAATAGATCGTGTTTTTCGTATTGGAAATTATTCTAAACTCCATAAACTTACTCTTCTTAATCTTCAATTTGAAATGGCGTCTCGTATTTTTAATGGTATGTCAGCTTATTTTTCACTCTTCAAAATAAATAAACCTAAGTCGATTAACTCATATTCTATATTTAGACAAGTCATCTTTTATTCATGTCTTTCAAAATCAAATTTCGCATCTCACTGTGATGATTCATGATGACAGCAAAGGTGAACATATAAAGGAATTATTCACAAATGTTTTCACCAATATTTTAATAATATTTACAAATTTGATTTATCTCGATTTCCATTCACAAGACATTTGTCGGTATATATCAAAACCTTTTCTTAGTTTACCATCTACTACATGTTATTCATCAAATATTGTTCATTTGAATGTTGGAGTCTTTAGTTTTGATTGTTGTCTTTCTTTACTTGATGGACATCTTACTCAATTACATACGTTTATTGTCAAGGTTGGTCGCATTATTGATACATCAATGAGTATAAAAAATACGGTAAAATGTTTTAAATCATAGTAAAACACTTCCATGTCAGTTTTTGATAGAGTTATTTATAACTTGTACAACGTGAAATAGATTACTAGAGTATTAAACAATCTACTGTTGAATAAGTTCTCAAATATTTAACAATATCTCATGCTTATATTTACCTTCTTGTTTGAGTATTCAACTTAACATGACTTAATATTTATGCTAATTTCTTTTTAGAAAACAGTATCTAATCTAAAATGTTTCTCGTTGACTTCATTGCGTCGAACAAATGAATATGATAATCAAGTTTTACCATTATTACATCAAATGTTACAACTAGAAGAACTAACGTTATCCCTTATTGTTGATGATCAAACTTCATTCATTGATGGCACTCATTTGGTTGATAATATTCTTAATAAAATGTCATATCTACAAACATTTATCTTCAATATTATCACCGAATATGTTACAATGGACGAAGAACTTTTACCAACACTTGATGATATTGAACGCCCGCTCATTCAAAGAGGATTTAATGTTAACTGTTATACTGATTATAATGAATTTTACAAGTGTCAATGTCATATTTATTCGCTTCCATTTACTATAGACTGCATGCATATACATTCTAGTAAATTTCATGGTGGTTTGTTTAGGACTGTTCGTTACCTATATGCACAAGATTTCGTTCGTCCATTTGAACATGATTTCTTTGCTCGAATTGCCCAAGCTTTTCCATTACTAAATAAATTAACAATATTTAATAAACATAAACAAGCCAAGTTAACACAGCGACAAGATAAACATGAATCAACATCTTCAGTTATTGAGTTTTCTCATCTTATGATACTCAATGTCGCTATGTCTTATATCGATTATGCAAAACAATTTCTTTTCGACTTTAATACGCGTCTACCTTGTCTTAATAGATTACATATTAAATATGAAGACTTGGTGATCGTAACAGAGAATTTCACGAACAACGGTACTCGTACTAATTGTTCAAAATTACAACATATTATTTTTGATTCAATACCAACGATATATCCAGAGAACTTCTACCTTTATTTTCCTTTGTTGTAAATAAAATGTGTTATTTGTTTAATTGTAATATTTTGTGTATATATGAATAAAGAAAAACAAATAATTTCATTGGAAATCTACTTTTATTTGTAGAAAATATAATGTTTTCATATTCAATACAGTAGAAAGTACTGATCATTGATGGATTTTTGCATAAAACTACAGACTTTTCTCTCATCTAGGTATTAATTACTATCTTAAGGGGTCCCCCCTCAGAAAATCCAATTTTTCGGAGACGGGTCGAGGTTGAAGTTTTATCATAGGAAGATACACCGAAGTCTCCTCTTTCAGAATATCTATGGTTTATCAAAAAATGAATTGATTTTGACGAACTTATCGTCTAAAGTTTGGCTTCTACTATCATATTTTTCGAGAAATTTTTGTGGCTTTTTTTCCAAGCTTTTTTGACTTGTTGGGCTTCTTTCTCTTTGCATCAGTATCTCGTAAAGTTTTTTATACTAATCATTACGAGACTATTAAAACTTAACATTAAGATCACATATTTATAGCCTGTCTTGAACACTGATATATAATTCAGGTGAGAGTGTGGGTGTGGATGTGGGTGGGTGTGGGTGTGGATGAGGTTCAGGAGAATATTAACACCCACACCCACCAACACACCCACATCCTCACCCACACCCACCCACATCCACACCCCACACCCACACCCACACCGACCCACACCCTCAACGTACCCACACTCACACTTTGATACTTCTACGCACTTTTAAGTTGTCTCTCAAAAGCACGACGTTTTTGCTCCTTCATCGGGTTTATGGCTGTATTTTGAGCTTTAAAGAATGAAGAATGACATCAACGTACAAATCAGTATGGCTATATGTAATAAGCTTACTGCATAACTTCGACGTCTGTATTAATCTTGGAGAACTCATTTGAATTGCAACTCTAATTAGACAAAACAATGTCGATGACATATTAGATGTATACTGATATGCATTGAATAATTGACAATACTTTTTGCAATATTATCATTTTAGAACGCTTTGAACTGCCAAACATCAAACGAATACCATAATTTCGCATAATGTCGTAGAATAAGTAGTACTAACAACGCATGGCTCAGATAAACGTTGTTAATCTTTCTTCTGCAGTCCTAATACCTTTGGTCAATATAAAGTATAGACATTATATTTTATTTTGAAATATAACTGTATAACTATTTTGTTAATTTATCTGGCATGATAATTGAAGCGTATTTATGAGACAATGTTCGAGTAGAAGACTTTCAAGGGTTCGGGTCTTGAAGCTTGAAAAATTTGTGAAGCGTCTATTTTAAAGTGCGTTTTATTTTTTCTGGCTTCAACTTCGCTGTAAGAATTTTTCGCTGATGACAACATTCGCTAATGCCGATTTTTTCGAATGAAATCATGATCGGAAACTATTGGATCAAATATAATTCATTCTGTGTCATATGTTACTATAAATTAATTAATGTATTGCCAAAGCAATTAATTATCAGGAAGTTAGTAACTAACGAGTTTGGTAACCAACTGAATCAGTGAAGATGTGAGTTTGTGACTAACTCAGTTGTTAGCAACATCAGATAACAGTCAACTTAGATAGTTGCTAACAGAGATCACAAGAAGTGCAGATGCGGGTGTCAATCGAATGTAATTATAGGTATGAGTGGAAGTGAGGTACAAGTTTATGTAAGCTCTGGATTTTCAGTTCGTTTGTACTACACCCGCACTCAGATGATCACAAAACTCAGATAGTGATTGACTCTTTCAGTAGTAGACTAATTAAATGTCATCAAAATTTACACATAAAAAGGGTTTCATTTAGGAATGCACCAGTTCCAGTTTTTAAGTGGTAGACTGGTCCCAGTCCCTAGTTAGAACTGGAACTTGTGCATTTCACCAAAAAGACAATAATACGTAAAATTGTGAGCACTAACCATGTGAACATGTGCAAGGCTGAAACTCGTAAGCGAAATAAAGTTTTCAACAATTACTAGGTTTGTCATTGCAATGAGTTAATCCAATAAAAGCGATTTAGAAAAAAGTACAATACTGGCAAATCATCTATACTACAAAAGAGTGTGAGTGTGGAGAAAGAGGGTGAGGGTGGGATGTGAATATTAGTGGATCTAGGTGTGCCTAAAGAACTGATCCATTCTTACTCCCACGCTCACACCCGCACTCACCCACACTCCATATTCACAACCACCCTATGCCCCACAGCCACAGCCAAATTCACACCCACGCCCTACCACAGCCAAACCCACACCCACCACACACCATACAGCCATATTCACATTCACCACATGCTATACACTCACAACCACACCCAGAAAAAAAACAAGTAAGGGTGTTTCCACGCAGGTCCGCCCACTTTTACATCGACTTTCTGCCGGCAATATTTCACTATGTTAGTTTTGTAGCTCTCGTCGAGTTATGTAAGAATTGATATTCAGTTTTGATTCAAATCGTGCGCTAACTTCAGTAGAGCAGGCTAAAAAGTCGATATTAACGAAAATTGACCCCCAAAATCAGTCTGTTTTATTTTTCGTCAACATTCTTTAGAAATTTTGATTTGACCATTGGATAGAGTATAAAAAGTTGTCTATATAAAATAATTTTCAAAACTATATCCCAAGAACTCATTGTTTGGGAGTTTTTACAAAATTGAGAAAAATGGCACTTCATGCTAAAATTGTAATGTTTATAAAATTTATACAGTCAGCTAAAGATCCTAACATATTATGATTCAAATGAAGCTTATGCTATGTTTATTCAAACGTGATATGCTGGAGTTTTTGAAAGTTTTCATTGCTTCAGATAGATGGATCCGAAGGCTCAAAGGGGTGTGGGTCAGAAAACAACCACACCCACACTCACATCCCACACCCTCAAGCATCAACAAACAAAAAAAAAGAACAGGGGTCATTATTATCATCACTGTTTTTTTTTTTATGTAAGATATAGATTAAATTATATTTTGTTATGCTTATACATTTCTTTGCGATTGATAATAAAGAAGAATATTATTACTTATGATTAACGCAAGACACCCATAGGAGAGAGCAGGAGCCGGGGGACGAGATGGACAAAGAGGAAAAAAAAAGAGAAACATTGACATTCGACTACAAGAAAAGCTGTATAATGAGAAAATTCTAATAGGAAAAATTTTTTACAAAATGAAAGAAAGAATAATGTTCTATTTGAAAAATACTTCTTCATTTGTGTTCTCCCTCTCTCTCTCTCTTTCTTTCTTGCATCTAAACATGCATACTGCCAATCATAACTTTCGATACAAAATTGACAATAGATGTTGATGGTTGTGATGGATCAATTTCAACAAATATATGACATTTATTTTCTGATTGAGAATATTCTGTATCATTGCTTTTCTTTGATACAAAACCGAAACATCTAAAAAAAACAAACAAAATATATTATTATTATTAAAAAAAGAAAATCAAAATAATTAATCTACTTTGCATATGGCAACATTTCAAGATCATTATATTTATATGTCCAAAAACGATCTGTTTCATAATCAAGACCACAATATGTAACATACTCTTTTGGAAAGTGACGTTTTGAAAATAATCTAAAGAAAATTAAATTTTACCAGTTTATTCTATACAAGTAGTTATTTTAAAAAAACAAGCTATTTTATTCAAAATATCAAATTAGAAAAATACATACTTTTTCTTAAGATCTATTAATGTGATACCAGTATTTGATACTTTAAAATGAACAACAGTAGCTTGTAAATATTCAGCATTTTCAAATGTGTCATTTAATGCTTTAGCTACAGCCATTTCATCGGATAATGCTTCAACATCAACATTATTTAAATAAACAACATTACAAGCTAAGAATAAAACGAAAACAAAAAAAAACTTTATTAATCATGTTCAATAGCTTTTTTTTCTGTTTTTTATTTTACCAGCTCCTTTTTCCAATAAATCTTTAATAACTAGTTTTTTACTTTCTTGTTGCTGATCTGTCATAGGATGAAAATCTTCAGCAATATCAACTGTTGGTAGAATAAGTTTTATAGGCAAGTTAAGTGCCGTTATTGTATGTTGGTAGACTAATGCTGATAGATTATCTAAAAATAAAACAATGAATTCGGTTTAAATTCGAAAAATTTAATTTTTAAACCTACCGAAATCAGGTTCATTAGGATAACCTTTCAATCGAACATGTCCAGTTGATGTTCGTTCAATAAGATGATGTCGAACAAGTCCATCACAAGAAACGGCATCTTAATATAATTCTTTTTATTTTTATTTTTAATATTTCATTGAAATCTAATAGCAAACCTGGTTCAGAATGAATACCCGATGGTAATGTATCAACTTTAACAGCTAGATCATAAGAACCAGGAAAACCTTGACTATCACGAATAAGAAATGTACCAGGTGGTTTTGTTTTAAGTAAATCAATAGCTATGAATAAGGACAAAAAACAAATATTTATAATTTATTCAATGATTATATTTCAACATACCATCTTCACGTGACATTTCTCCTTTATACCAAAATTGACTGACATCATCTGCTTGATAAGCGCCATTACGATTGACATCAGAGTCTATAAAAAGAAAAAAAATAAATTTTATTTTATTTCTACTCTATATACGTTTTGAAGTTTTCTCTATCTACTAAACATCCTTCCATAATTATATTATATAACAATAAAAGCCGAAAACATGGAATATTTTCGCTAGAAAAATCATCAAAGTTTAGATACATTATTTCGTTACTCTTGGAAAAGTGAGTAGTCGCGTCCGTTTCTCAATGCCAGTACATCCGATTGAGCTGAAACTTTTTTCCACTTATACAAGAAATTGTTTAGGGTGCCTAATTTTTTTTCTGTTTCAGAATATGTTGTATTGCTGGCAGTGTTTTATTCAGGGGATACTAAAAAAAAACCGTTGAATATTTCACGCTTTTACTGTGGAAAAAATTCCATGAACCTTTGAAGAGTTTATGTCAATATCAAATATCCTTTGAAGATTTACGAGTCGAAGGGCTTGTGAGCCTAAGGGCATATGAAAATGGAAAGAGTATATAAGGCTTTTGTGAGGATTGGTTATTCAATATTTTCAACGTAGCAATTTATCATTATAGAAATAGGGGTAGATTAATTTATGGTTTCATAAGCAGCGTTTCTCATGATATGCATAAACGTAGATTAATGCACGTTTTTTCAAAACGGTTTATCATTCTACAATTAAGAATACTTCATTGTACGATTTTAGGGAAGCATTTCTTATTCTACGACTAATGATAGATTAGTACACGTTCTTAGCAAAGTGTTTCTTATCCTATTGCTAAGAGTAGATTAATGTGCGGTGTCACCAAAAGGATTCATTATTCTACAACCAAGGGTAGATTGATCGACGCTATAACAATAAGTCATCGAATAATCAATCTTCGCATTGCAAAAAAACACTTCTATCGAGTTTGTTGGGGTTTATGGGAATGTCATGTACTATTCGAGGATTTATGAGTCAAAAAGATTTATGGTAGTAAGAGTATATGATTCATATTTAAGAGATTTATTATTCTATCATTTCATCGAAGGCGTTCATTATTTCACGCATCAAGGTAGATTAATCCACGGTTTGACTAGAAGGATTTAATATTCTTCATTCAAGAGTACATTAATATACGGTGTCGTCTAAAAAGTTTATTATTCTATGTCACACGATAGATTCATCTACGGACTCAAGAAAAGTGTTCATGAATAGAAGAGTATCTAAGAATAAGTGTATACGAAAACTAAAAGATAGTAGATCACCATTTAAGAACACATCGTGCTACGATTACTCCAAAAAGGTTTATTATTTTACAACTAAAGATAGATTATTCTAAGTTTAATTTCAATGCGTTTATTATTCTACGGTCAATGCTTGATTATCTGATGTTGTCAATAGAAAAGTTTGTAATTATACGTTTTAATTGAAAACGTTCATGATTATGCTCTTAAAGATAAACTAGTACGAGACGAGTAGGCAGCTTACAGTAAGGAGTAGGTGTGGGTATGGATGTGATTGTTGGTGTGGAGTATGGGTGTGGGCACGAGTGTGGAGTGAATCAACTGCAACAGTCACAGCCACACCCACCAACACTCACACCCACATCCACACCCTACAGGACAAAACTTTTCATGGAATAAACAGTCTTCACTATGCTCAGCTCCAATAAACATCCCTTTCTCTGTCCATAGTCAGCACCTCTTTCGTATCTTTTGATAAGCTTTTAATAGAACCCTTCCTAGGCTAATATCTTACACGCCTCACTTTATATCGAACATGTGTTTCACAAGAATGCATGTCGTAGACAAGAGGCGAACATGGGTTCCAGAGAATTAAACTGATTCAATGAAAAATAAAATGAAATTGTCAATCATCCTTGACTATGTGAACGATACTGATAACAATTTAGAGCGAAGTAAAATAAAAATAAACGACGGATAAAAATCCGAAAAATTCAAAATCCATTTTTTCTCTTGTAAACTTTTCGAAAAACCAAACGTTGCTTTTTTAAAGTCGAAAATTAAGGTCAACTGTGCTTTCTTCAATATTCGCTTAAAACTTATTCTTCAAATCCACATGCACTTCGAAAATGAGCAATGTCTTATTTTGATCTTGATTTTACTGCAGTATGTAGAGAACTGTTCAATAGTGAATACTAAATCCAGTCTAAAATGATGATGAATCGTATTCTGATTCGTCAATATTCAGTTTTTCATAAATTTATCAATTTATTGCTAATCGGTAATTTTCTATTACTAGAAAAATACTCAAGTAGTCATGATATCGACTGAATCTTTTGTGACTAGTCATGGTGTTTCTCAATAGTGATAAAAGAGTTCTTACTATTTCCGTAATTCCGCCTGTAATATCTTTGTCAAAAAGTGAACTCAACGTTCATGCAATCTATCTCGAATATAAACTTAATTAAAATTCAATAGTATCTACGACTGAATCAATGAACTGACTTTTGACTGATAAAGAAGTCCTACAGGTCCATATAGCGTAAACAGGTATAGACTAATGCAACATAAATTTATTCTCTCCGCTGACATAGAAGAATGAGAAAAATAAAGAAAAGTTTCTCTAGTTTTCTTTTTCTTATAGATATTAATATATTGGACAATCAATGAATGTTTTGTACTAACCAAGGAATTCCAACTAGTTTTCAATAGAATGACGATCTACTCTTAAAAAATTTATTTGATTGTAAAGTGAAATTATCAAGAATTTAGTTTAAATATAGTTCTAATATCTTTATGCGATTATTTGCTTTTTAGTTTAAATATCAATTCAGATGATTAAATTCAAGAAAATGTAAATTACAAATATTAGTCCATTTTTAAGTTGAAATTACGAAAATTGAAAAACGAAATAGATTTCAAATATGACTTGGAAAAATTAAACTCATCTCATTTTTAAATAATTTTTTATTTATTTTTTTGTATTATTTCTTTTAATAAAAAGCAATTTTTCTATCTATCGGCGATGAGAACAAGTTTATTTTTAGAAAAATATTGCTAATATAAATTAGTCGTACTTAACTTTATGTCAATAGCATCTTCAAATGTTTATTGACATGTACATATCGATCACTTAATCGTATAGATAAGTCGGATGACTGGTCGCTAAGCGAAACATCGTATGCATGTTCAAATCTAACCTATTTCCTAATACTTCTATCGTGTAGACTAGTTCAGACTACAACTCGTCTTGTGCAGCGTGATGGATGCTCTAGACAAAACATTTTAGAGTCACAGATGCACTGTCACAACTAGTATAACGATTAGTATTTTTATCTGTCGTTTACTTACCTATGTTTTTAGAAAAGTCAAGCAACTCTTCTTCAAAATTCTTTTCAGATGAAGATGATCTAGATTGAAGAAACCAAATGAGAAAAATACATTTACCAAGCCAATAGAATACTAAGAAGTTGCACAGATGATACAAGATATATTCGATACAACCCAATGTTGAATAAATCATCCAATAGATTAACAATCGTTTTTGATCGGACGTACTCGATAATAAAATCGCCATTGACCTGACAAAAAATTCAAGCAATTCAATTCATGTTATGTATGTCTATTCGAGACACTTTGTAAGCATATATAGATCAACGTTACTTGTCACTATGACCAGATTTTACTGATAAGATCTCTAACATAAAATACATAAGAAACATCACATCGAGTGAAATTTTCAAAGTTTGTAGAGTTCTCTCGTTAATCTATTTCATATACAGAATGCTCAAGTTTCAATATAAAATAGATGGGCAAAATTCAAAATACAGGGACGTTTTTGTAGAAAACATTCCGTCACTTCGTATTTTGACTCTTTTTTCAATTTCAATATCAGATCGAGATCGCCTATGTGTCATTCTTACAAATGATGTCAACAAGTTCAAAAAGAAAGAATCTTTCACACACTGGAATTCATCGAATTGATTATTACATATGTGTTAGATAGAGTCGATAATGCACTATTTAGTGTTTTGTTTGCATTTTTATTCTTAGTCTTAAAAATGAATCACAGGTCAAAACTTAATGGTTTTAGACAGTATTTTCCACACAACATGAAGATAAACTGATTTGTTCTCTCTCTTACTTTCAGCTTGAAACCATAATTTGATATCAAAATCATATTCGACATAAAAAAAACTGAAGCTCTTATCATTTACTGGAATGTTTCTGAAGAATGGATAATAGATTAAAGGTCAATGAATAGTAGCATAGTGCTGGACGTATATGTCACTAAAGAATGCTTTAGTAGTTGATCACTTTTCAGCCTTTCTTTTTTATATTTAAGTTTCTAATTATATGACGAAACTCAAGATATGGTCGTCGACAGAATGGGCTCGATTGATTTTTAGAAATCAAAAATGATTTTTCAGTTATCAGGTTCTTCAAGAAACGGTACAGAAATATTTCAAAAGTTCTTCTATAGTCATTTACTACAATTCGGCTTCAGTGTGGATATGAATATTGTTCCTCTTTGCATCCGCGCCCATGCTTTCAAGTAGAAATCTGTGTGACCACGAATTTTTTTGTCATCGTCACAAGAACTTTTCCGATTTAGTTACGACTAGAGGTATAAGCCGAATGACTGAACCGCTACTACCATTTTTTCTGGAAAAATTGTCAGTTGCTAGCGCTATGATAACAAAGAAACTACTAGATTTTCGAAAATTTTTGACACTCAAGATCAATTTTCGGACGTGTCTGCTTTTAATCGACTTTTTATGGTTTGAAATCGATTAAAATCAAATGAAATCTATCTTTTAAAGCTGACAATCAATTTTTAATCCAGTCAATCAAGAAATGACTGATTGAAACTATTTTCGACATTTTTTTTTGTACGAATCAGCATTTTTTGGTAGAGTAATCTGAAGTATGATATGCGCGTCAAAGGTTGATATCGTTGTATGTTTACCGTTTGTTGAGTTGAGAAGTTTGAGAAACTGCAAAAATTCCACTTTCTAAGTTAAAACTCGAGAAAAACGCATTTTACAACTATCGTTATTAAAATCGATCAGACATTGAATAACGTGATTGAAATTAGACGAAAATTAGATCTTTTTTCTTGATTTTACACGGCTTATCTAGTTTCTTATCAGTCAGTCGTCTACAAGCATTTTCTATTTTTTTTTTCATTTCAAAATCTCTTGACACCAAGAAAATTTTAAAAACAGTAATCGAAAACATCGAGCCGCTGCCGAACATTTAAAAAAAATAAAGTTTGTCGGTCGTTACCGATCAACTCATCGGTTTACACTCCTAGTTTGGACCAAAATAGTAAAACTCTTGAAGAAATCTTTCTTAATACTAATACCATGAAAACTTGCTACAGTTAATCAATCGACCACAGCTTTTTGATGGAAACCATAGGATCACACGTGATCATTTTGCACATCTCTACTCTCAAGACGTTTGTTTTTTGCAGAGAAACCATATCATTTCATTCAGAGTTGAATACTAGTTCTGAATATACAAAACTTGTTTGAAAATATTATGGACGAAATGTGGTCTTATCGTGACTCGTCTTGTTTATTCATTATTTTGTTATATTAGATCAAAAAGCTCTCTCAAACTCATCATAATGAGGAAGTATTCAAAATTATCGACAATATAACAAATATGAACTTTTTGAGTATATAATTATACGTACAACGTTCGTTACTTTTTCATGTTTGATGCTAAACGATTGTTTGTGTTTTCTATAGTCAAAACATATTAAAATATGACTGTACAGTTAGGAAGAAATCGAAGTAATTGTATCGATTAGTTTGCGAAGAATGTAGCATCATTCTTTGGATTGAAATGTTTCTGAATTGTGTTCGACTTTCATCTGAAACGCAAATAACGAACTGATTCAGAGTCAGCTCAACTAGAATACTTTTTATATCTGGACAGAATATATTTCAGAAACGTGCTTGAACGTGTTTACAACTTGAAACGTAACTGAATGCGATTTCATTTCAAAGTGCGTCTTGCGAAGGAACATATCCAGATGTCAAATAGCTTTTGGATCGAGTATATACTCCATCGATAAACCTTAATAAGCTATTAAACGTCCTACAAGGATTTGGTTTTCCAGTCTTCCTGAGCAGACTATTGTGCTAATATATTCCATATCTTGACTAAAATTGCTTCGATCTGACTCCAATTTATATCAGTACTAAAGCATTCAGCAGTGATTAAGATCTTAGAGTTTGAAAATAAATCAATGTTTCTTATCAAAGATATGAATTTGTTTGGTATACCTCTTGATTATTAAGAAAACAACATATGTCTTTGCTCACTAATGGAAGTATTGATTCATCTGATGTTTGCAATACATATTCATCCCATAGTTAGCATGCCTGTAGAGATGTTAGCTCGTTTGTCGGTGCATTCAATTAATAAGAATCAGAAGAATGAATTCGCGTACTTTTCGCTATGGAACATATGACACTGATATACTAAACTTAATTTTTGTAAAGATGTCGATGTCCTGCATGTATATTTTACTGATTGAAATAAAGTCTTTTCTTTTTCTTTGAAGAAGTCATTTGCATAGAATCATTGTTGGTCGAAATCCTGAAAGAGAGGTTATTGTGTATTGATATAGTTGAAAAGAGGATGATGTATAAAGTAATAGGTAAAGTGACAGTTCTCAACAACTTTTCTGGTGCTAACAACAAAGAACATATTTCATCTCGTTTCTACGAAGTCCTCGAATTGTTAGTGCACAGCAAAGGCATATGTTGTTTTCTTAATAATCAATCGGTATACCAAACAAATTCATATCTTCGATAAGAAAAATTGATTTATTTTCAAACTCTGAGATCTTAATCACTACTGAGTGTTTTAGTACTGATATAAATTTGAGTCGGATCGAAGCAATTTTAGTCAAGATAGGAAATATATTAGCATAGTAGTAGAGCAAAACTAGTAGTAATAATCGTATACCTCTGCTCAGGAAGTCTGGAGAACCAAATCCTTGTAGGGCGTTGAACAGCTCAATAAGGTCTATCGTTTGAGTATATACTCGATCCAAAAGCGATTTGGCACCTAGATATGTTCCCTCGTCAATACAATTCCATATACAAATGCATTTAGATGCATTTATTTGTTCCTTTTTTTCTAAATTGTAATCGACCATGATTTTGATGTAAAACACGCTTTGTACAGTCGAAAAAAAATGTCCTAACTATCTTCGAATGCCTCTATTCTGTGTCTAACGTTTACATGAAGAAATTAATCTGAATAAGTATTGCATCTCACCTTACGACAATACTCTAGCTGAAAACAAAAAAGTTTTGAAGGGAATTCTACTCACGAGGCGTATGTTCCATAGGCTAATCCGATCAAATTACATAAGTAATCGTTGCACCAGCCAAACACCAGATGGGTGGCAAGAATAGCAACTAGACCTATGTAACGATATAAACACATGAGACAAATGAGAAAAGCATAATTTAAAACATACCAATAGCAACGACTGCAGATTCAACACCGGTCTTTGCTTCAATTAGATCAAACATCAGACCAACTGGACTGTTTATATAGGACGATCTCACTTTAGTTTTTACTGGATCAAAATACTTTTTAAATATGGCAGCCATATTTCTTAAAAAATGAATTTAAATCTGAAACATAAATCGAACGCTTGATGATTTCTTCGACATGAGTAATACAACGAATTGAATTCAACTGATGTCAACTTGAACTTGATTGATAAATGAACAAAAAAAATTTTTATCAGTTGTCTTATTTTTTACTTGAATTGAAAGAGAAATTTTTCAAGAAAAAATGTGTACTAGACGCTACAATTACTTGTATCACCTTTTCTTGAGCCAAATCGTTTTGAGTAGTCATTTCAGATGGTGAAACATAAGTTTATGCCTATTGTGTGTGGAATATAAATTGAAAAAAGCAAACTAATGTTTTAAGTGCGCTCCAGGGAAAAAAAAGCACTCATTCTGTAGTTACTCTCCATTTTCTTTGTTTTTCAAGCATACACGACGGCTTGCTCGACTTCAAGAAGAATGAAAAAAAAAATACTGGCATCAGAGAGGTCATTCTAGGTCACAGACATATAAAAAATACTTCACATTTCAGAATACTGTAGTGCTTAGTATGAACAAGTCCATTTACAGTAGAAATCGCTAGGTTTCAATTCAGACTATTCACTTTACGAAGGTGTTCACCATCGACAGCTATTTACAGCGAGATATTTTACACCATTCGATTCATATGCATTGACTTTTCATACAGTAGTATGTGACCATCAATAAAGAATCGTATATTAAATCAATTTTTTTAACTAGGGTATTTCGCTGCTTTTGTTTTCTATGAATCTACATGGAATACTTCTATTGCATGTTCTTTATACTAGAGTTTCTGCTCTCGTATGATATGAAATTTTAAAAGCCTATCATCTGAGTACTGCAGAAAAAACATTACTATTTAACATGTAAATTTTGTTCTTACCTTCTTGCAATTATGTGTACCGAAAAATGAAGAAAAAACATGCACATACACCTTTTTTTATAGTTCAAAAAAGAAGCATACAATCACCACTACAGTGCTTTACAATACTCATGATAGAAAAAGAAAAAAAACAAGCATAACATACATGTCGAAGCACTGCGTACCCGAACGAATTAATTGTTTGCTCCACGACACATTATAATTCACCTCAAAATGTTTGCTTCACTAAGTCTCACGTTAAAATTGCTGAAAGAAGAAATATTCTATTGATTCATAAGTAGCTGATCAAAAGTTAATACAGACAGACCAGAAACAAAAACGAGTGATCTCAGTATGAATTACATAATAATAGTGACTTTAACGAGCACCTTTTATTTCGGTGTTTTAGTCATTCATGTAGCCATTATCAAGAAAAAAAGTGTACAAGTGTAGAGACTAAATTACCAAACCATACATATATGCAACCAAAAATAAAAAGGGAAACAAAGAGTAAAAAAACAAGAAACTTAATACAGTAAAGAGCATGAGAGGAGAAGACGAGAGATTTAAAATAGAAAGCGAACGCACAGCAGAGTAGAAAAATGAATTTTGTTCTACATTGCATATTCAATTCGAATTTTATGTTGTTTTATTTGAAATAACGAACGACGTAGCTTGTATTAAATCCATCATTAATTATTTTTTCGGGCTGATTTGTCCAGAAATATGTTCTAATACTAGTTTCATCTATTTATAGTGCAAGCATTAGACGTATAGATCTACTCTATGCTATAAATGCAGCTTTCGACTTATTATTGTTACAGAGACACATGTATTATTAAAATTAAAAAAGCTCGAAATATTTTCGAAATTATTTGAATATTTTTGATACTTGATTAAGCTATTATATAGAAAATATTAATCACAAGAAGATTTCATAATCGAACTTCTTTTAATCAATAAGGAAAAATTTGAAAGAAAACTGTACTGTAATTGAGAAAAATGGTAATTATCTGCCGATTCACTCAGTCAATATTAGACTCATTGGTATGTTTCATTCTTTCTGCACATTATGATTATCGAAGAAAAGGGGACGGTATATTTTTCTCCTATACATAACGGTCGTAATAAATAAACAGAAGGCAAGAATTATAAGAAACCATAGTTACTTATAGTGAATGTATGATCGAATGACTACACATTTTTTCATGCATAATTATTTTAGTATAGTTTAAAGTTTTTTTTATAATTTTGGCAATGCTGTCATCTCTGTAACAATAATAATTAGAGAGGTGAATTTCTAGCATGGACGAGATCTAGATGTTGCATGTATGCAGTATAGATATAAGTTTCGACCAACATGAAAATATACAAGAAAAGAGTACTATAAACAGTTTATTTGCCCTCTTTGAAGTACGTAGCTACATGTATTACATAAGCTGGTTGACTCGAAAATCGAAAAAAAATAAATAGCATGATTTTCGCCTCGATTAATTGATATATAGCGGTGAAGCGCAAAAATTAAAACAACGCAATATATCGATGATAACTTTCCATCTTTTTTGATGACTTATTTTCTAATTTCCTCAATTAGTTTTTGAAAATATCGTAGCTCTGTTGACTTGAAGTGACAATGTGTTTTCCTCATGCATTGAGTGTAGGACGTCTCTTTTTCTCGAGTCATATTCTTCTGATCCTGTCGAAGTTCTTAAGTAAAAGTTAGAGAAAAAAGCTGTTAAGTACACTAAAGCAGGTTTTTCGTATACTTTGTATTCAAACATACATGTCGCTAGTAACGTTGTCATGCACTACCGCTCTATATAATAGAAGACGATATCTAGTTCACCATCCTTGAATGGCATGCTGACACATCTAATATAAGCTACTATCTTTGGCTCATCTAGAACCAGTTATTTTATGTTTCTTTCTAGGACATTCCATAGATATATTATAATTAGGAGGTACGTTTATAATATAGAAAATAGAAGTGTTCAAAAAAATCAAATCACAAAGGAGACAATAACAATTTGTGTTCTTGTGAACCAACTTGATATATTAAATTCAAATGTTTTCTTTTTATTTGAAAATCTTTTTCTGAATTCTTGTGGGATCTGATAATGAAATCGACTCACAATGTTAAAATATGAACTGCGTATGG